ACAAGATTTTGACAGGTGGCGGACATAGAAAAATCTGTGATGGAGGTAGTTTTGCAGGAGGATGTACAGATGGGTTGGGATGTGTAGGTGGAGTTTCATTAAGAGGATATTGTGTGCAACGGTGTCATAGGCGTGGGAAAGGTCTGTAAAAATTGCAGGTATTTCTCTCTAATGGTGGAGTGAGGTGGCTGCTGACAAGGTAAGGTTCAGGGTTTGGAGAGCCGCGGAACGGTTCCCAACGGAAGCCAAACTGGACTGGACGGTCAATGAGACTCCGGATGAAGGTAAGTCTGAGGAGAATGATCTTTTCACGGATTTTTCCAAGGATGAGGAGAAGGCTGATGGGGCGGTAGTTGGAAGGAAGGCGATGATCTATGTTGGATTTCGGAAGCATGGTAACGCGGGCGGTTTTCCAAGTTGTTGGGAAGTAGGATAAGGAAAAACAGGAATTATAAATTTTGGTGAGAAGGTCTATTGCGTTTTTAGGGAGTTGTTTTATTTGGGAAGGGAGAACTCCGTCGGGTCCTGGAACTTTGTTGCTGATGATGGTCTGAATTATTTGTTTACTTTCAATGTTTGATGTTGTGTAGGGATGTTGGGAGTCGAGAGGTGGGTGTGTGGTTTTAATGCATTTGAGGACACGTAGAAAACCAACTGAAAAAGCTTGGCTACGATCTCAAAGCAGCCAGACAAATCTGCCGGCTGAAGGAAATCGTGGTCTCCAGAAACTACGATTCTGGTGAGGCCAATGGTGCAACCGGCAAACGCGTCGTGTGGATCTGTCCACAGGAACGTTCGCCGCCATCCTCAGTGACAGCGCCGCGTCTCAAAAAGTTACCTTCTTAAGCAACTCGAATCTTTTACAATCGCGGTCCAAAGGGAAAAGTGGGCAAAACCTCGATTTTGTATGCGATTCTGTCGTTGGGGCCACATCGCTCGCAATTGCGAGTACGATGTGCGCTGCCGCCTCTGCACGTGCGAGGGTAACCCTTCAGGAGAAGTTCCCCCAAACGCGGAACGGGGCATTGCTCAAAACGCGGAAATTTTAATTTAAAGACCGTCTGCTGCAGTTGCATGCAGCATCACGCTACATCCTTCACAGGATGCAGCGATTGCAAGTTACCACTACGTCCTTCGGACTCGCATGCAATAGCATGCATGCGAGCACTCGCAATGCATGCGAGGGACCCTTACTCCAAAACGTTTTTAATACAAATTCGATGCCTCGGTCGGCAGCAAGCGGCGGGCCGGCCTGGAACAAGGTCGCGCAGCGCCTCGGCGCAGCGCGCCCCTCATAGGCCAACGCACCACCCTCCGGGGCGGCCGGAGCGCGGCCCACTGCACCCGCAGCTGCCGCCCAAACAGTCACTAAGAGCCAGTTCTTAGCGATGTCTGAGCGAATCCTCAATATATACAGGACAATGTCTAGACAAAATCATAACGTAGACATGCGAACACCTCTCCGCACTTGCACTTGGAACGCGCGAAATGCAATCTTCAAAGCTCAGCAAACTGAACATATTGCAGAGGAACTGCAACTCGATATTTTGGCTTTACAATAAACGTGGCTTAGTGATGAACACGAATTCAAACTCCGGGGATTCGCTGTTTATCGCCGAGACCGCGCTGGCAGCGTAGCGATTGCGCTGCGTCGGGAACTGTCGCAGCTTGAAGCCGAAATCCCATGCTCTGGCGTCTGTAGGGGCGGTCGGGGCGTACGTTTGGGTGGGAACCGGCCAACTTTTAGTCGTATCTGTCTACTGCCAAGACCAAACCTTAGATCCGGCTGGAATTGTAGCGCTTCTCTCATTAAATTCCAAAGTTATCCTTGTGGGTGACTTTAACGCCAGACATAGAAGTTGAGGCGGCCTCCGAGCAAACAGAAACTGCAACAAAATTGCCAATCTTGAAGTGACAAGGCGGAGCGTAGAGATCTCCGCACTGAATAGCCCCACGCATTTCCCGGTTGTACGTACAAGGAATCCGAGTGTTATTGATTATATGATTGTGAAAGGAATTGAGTGCGTGGTTCCCCACTCAACTGCCGCACTGGATTCCGATCATAATCCAGTAACGTGCGTTGTGGCGTCCCCAGTAGTGAAACGCCAAGTTAGTTTTCGAACTACTCGTGATACGAACTGGGCAGGTTTCGCAACACAGCTGAATTCTCAGAGAAACCAGTAAATACGAAAGACGAGATCGATGAAGCAGTAAAACACTTCACTGTAACATTAAAATCGGCTTTCAAGCAAAACACAATTGTCACGCGAGTAGGCAACTCTCGCCTTGAGCTCACAGATGAGCAAAGAAGGATCTTAAGAGTACTGCACAGAACTGTCAAAGTTCATCGTCGATATGTCGATCCCGTTGACGGAGAGCGGACGCGCAATCTAAGCAGAGAATTCCGTTCATCTCTTCGGGATGAGAGAGCTGCTCAATGGTCTGGTACAATTTCAAAATGCAATCTCCATGAGAGGAACATTTGGGATCTTTCTCGTGCGCTGGGCCGCAAATCGGGAGTAATCATTCCGGTTCAGAGCAACGCCGGGACGGGGGCGCCCGGCGCTCCACGACCTCGGCCCGTTTACGCGTGGGACGACGTTACAAAAAGCGAAATATTCGCAAATTTGCTTGCGTTACAGTTCCGCGCGTTTGAAACGGGCGCCGCTTCGCAGCCATTGGCCGCTTCCGCTACAGGTGGTGCGCCAATGACGCGAGCAGCCAGCTGCAACGCCATTGGCCCGCTCCCCCCTTGGCGCGCTGAGTGATGGGAGATGAGCTTTGAGCTGAGCCGAAACATTTCTACCTGGTCTCAACCGTCTCAACTGAGTGTATATCAATGCGAGGAAGGCGGGCGGCCCCGAAAGCCGTCCGCTCCGCGCTTGCACGAGACCCGCAAGGCGGCGTGCACAGGGCCTGCCACAGAAGAAAGGGCCCACAGCACGTCGCCTTCACCGTCCACGCACAAGCTCTCTGAGCTCTGCGATACGCGGGAGCAGCAATTTTGTGGGATCGCCGCTCACAGAAGCAGAAAACCGCGCGGGCGGCGCGGAAACGCGCTCCGCCAGGTCGCTTGAACATGAAGACGTCGCGGCGCCACGGGCGCTTGAGTAAAGTCGGCGCCGTGGCGAATCAAATAGTGTACATAGTGTTGTGAAGTGTGTGTTTGTATAAAAGAACGAATGAATGAATGTGTTTGTAAATATAATATAACTGTGAATGCGTGTGAGAATGGAAAACAAGAAGACAAAATAATAATACTAAGAACTTCAACTATTTTTAAAAACTACCTGTCCATAATAACCAGCAAACCCCAAAGAGGGTATGTATTAGTTTTAGTTAGTTTGTATAAGATTAAAGCCCTCCCTTTCTGTAAAAGCCAAATCGGCTGCAGAAAAACCCATTGCAGCCCGTAAAGACAAATAAACTCCCGCATCTCCAGGGCTACTGGATGGGGGAAAATCGAGAAAAAACATTGATGTGCGGCGGCCTAGTTCTTTCTAGTGCCTCTTTAATGCGGTTGTACCAGTGCGTGAGCCGGGTCTTGTCGAAATCGATGGTATGTCCCGTACCCTCGGAATGGTGCAATATTGCCGTAGTGCTGTTAGTGTCGTTTCTATTGTAGTGGGTGATGTTTTCTCTGAATCGCTCGGACACCGTACGCCAGGTCTCGAAGACGTACGTCATGCTACAGCTACAGGGAACTCGAGACCGCGCACGGTATCCGAACGACTTAAGGCAATTCTCAATTTTCTTAACACATTTTCTCAAACACGGTTCCAATTTTTTTCTTTAAATTTACTCCTCGGAAGGGTGGTAAAATTATTTTCTCGTAGCAAACTCTGTATTTTCGCAAATTGCAAAATTTTAGTTCAAATTGTAGTTCAAAACTATAAAATCGAAAAGAGATATGCTTGCCTTAAACAAAATATGCTATAAAAAATCATATCTTTAAAAAAGTTCATCTTCCATATTTTGAAAAAGAATGAGTAGTTCTTGCATAATTTGTGCTTGAAATTTATGCAATTTATTAAAAAACACATTTTTTTAAACCTGTTCAAAATTGTTTCTCTTATTTTTTACACAGTTAGAACAAGGAATGTTTAAAAAAGTTACAGGTGTCGTTTTTGTTGACCTCCCAAATTTTCAGAGTTGCACATTTAGACAAAGTGAGAAGGTGTTGAAGCACGGCTAATTTATAAAGGCAATGGTCAAGAACACTTTAAAAAAATGATCACATGAAAGGTTTTAATTAAAATGGGTCTATAATCTATTTTCTTAAATACATACAAAGAACAAGTAGTCCTAAGTCAGCTAAATCGAGACAACCTGACATATCTTGTTGACTTTACAAACATCATAATCATTACAACTGAAAGTAAAACACTTTTCAACTAAGTTTCTAAAACTCATAAAACACTAGAAACAATGATCTTCTGTCAAAGTGACACTCTTGCAAAAGGAGACACACTAGTGTGCTCTGGCATGTGCCATTTGTATCTAAATTGGTACACTTTTAATTTTTAATAGAGAATGGTTCTTCTAAGCAATTGTTACCAAGATGATAAGTAAAAAATACGAGTTTTTTTTATTGTAACACTTACTGCATTGGGTTGGGAAAGATTAACATAGAAGTTTCTCTAGTCCAAGATGACTTTTCTTTTAAAAAGAGGAATTTATTATTTATATATAATTTCATACAATAACACATTCCCTAGGGTAGCTCACTGGTCAGCATGCTTACTTTCCATGATGTGATCCCGGGTTCAATTCCCAATCAAGGCAAATTATCGTGTGCACTTTCCATGAAATGTTCAGGCTGCTTTATGACAATGAGAAAGCTCTCTTCTCTGGTTGAGAAGACCAAAATATAGTGGAGGGATGTCTATGTGCTGACCACACGTACCTTTTAACACATGGCCGCAAGGCCAGGACATCATTGATAAACCTTGGCCCAAAAGGAGCTGTTATGTCGAAGTACATACTTCGGCAAAGTGCATACTTAATTTTTTTTTTTATTTATTCTTTTTTCTTTGAACAACCTTTTTGAATATTGATTATCACAATAAGAGAATCAGAAAACCACCTACAATAATTCAAATAAAAAATCTATATTCATCAATGAATTAATACACACACAACTGTTTTAATTAAAACTGGTACCAAAACTAGACCTAGCACAATTAAATAGTAAAGAAATATTTTTAAAACAATTCATTTATGGACTTCACACAACTAAACAGTAAATAGGTGTTTTTAAAACAATTATTTTATTATCTTGGCATTCACATGTTCATGTGATCATGTTGAACATAATAACACACATATTGAATCTTTCGAACCATTTCCAAAAATTTATCATTTTCATATTTTTGTTGCTGATGCAAAAATGGTTAACATACAAAATAATGTAGTTAAATATTACAACATTACTGGAATAAAAGAAAGCAACAATTTATTAGCAAATTGTTACAAAGCAAAACATACCCATCATATGAAACTTTCCTTTAAATGTTGACTCAGAAGTTCACATTTTTATAGATCACATGTTTATTGAGAGATCAACTATACACACTCTGACACTGATATTTGTATATAATTAACATTCAATGAAAATGAATAGCAAATTCAACTCATTCATACTTCTGGGTAAAATTCTCAAGTTTTTGTTAATTAAACAATGAATTTAACTTTTTAAGAAAAATTTGATTAAAGAACTCTGATATAAATTACAATGCAATTACACTTCAGTCTCCAACAAATTTTCAGCACTTGTAGAGAGCATTTGGGAAAAACAGGAATTTGGATTTCTAAATAAGTTTTCAGGAGTGTCAAATTCAGCAACCTGCAGCAAACAAAAATAACAATAATTTATGATTCAAGAGAGTGAAATGTAATAATATTAAGTATTAAACATTATTGTATATATGATGTTCATAATTGATAATATTTGATATTAATTATTATTAATTAATAATAATAAATCAATATCAAATATTATTAATAATTACATAATAGATATTATTTTATTCAGATTGTTTTGCACAGATAATACCACGAGTGTTTTGGAAATTGTCAATAAATTCCCAATTCGTGACAGGTTATGTTACATACACGTTTTATTATAGCATAGCTGTTTACATAGTGATTGATCTATAAAGCCTCCTATGATAGATGAGTTACAGTGTATGATTGGCCAGTAGGTAGAAGCGGTAAAAAAAATCAGATACACCACCCTGATTGGGGCATTTTGTATGTAAAGTTAAACACTATTGATTTTAATTTCACGAGTGGAATAGTCATTATAAATATATTGAGCAATATACCATATTTAAATAATTTTGTATAAATGTATAAATTTATAATGATAGACACGCTGAATAAAATTTTAAACAATTTCTTCTGACAACATTTAGCTATGAATCTCTATGAATGTTTATAAGCAGTTTAACTGGAATTCTTCTTCAAAGTGTCAAAGGTATATTTAATATTGACTTACCTGTCCATCTTTCACTATGATAATTCTGTCACATTTTGCAGCATATTTCATATTATGTGCTACAACCAAGATTGTGCAATGAAATAGCTGTTCCACAACATCTAGAACTTTGAACATATCCTTTGTGCCTACTGGTTCTATTGGCTCTTCTAATATTAATATCTGAGAAAAAATTAATGTACTTATTTAGTTTTATTTTTCCCTAGTATTTCCTTATAACATCTACCTTACAAAAGTTAGCCTTTTCTGTGTGGGAGTAGATCTCATCACTAGATGATCTTTTCCCCAAAAAGGTTAAAAAGTTTATTGACTAGTTGTTTGAGAGATTCTAGATCCTATTGCATGAAATCAAAAGTAAGAATCTTCATAAATTTTTAAGTTTAAGACCCTGTATCATTTTTGAAACCAGTACTTCATATAATATTGATGTAGTATCCTATTAATTTTCTGGGATAGCTGCACACATAAAAAATAGATTTTCACTACTTCATGAATTAGAAGAAATAATAGTAGGTGAAGAAGAAAAGTAGAAGAAGAAGAAAAAGGTAGAAAAAGAAAAAGGTAAAAGAAGAAAAAGAGAAAAAGAAGATATGATGTAGTGAATTAAGAGGAGATAATGTTGAATACATTAATTTGGAAAAACTCTTGTTTTCTGTAAGACTAAGAATTTATTAATACTCTCTATTATATATCTGTTCTGAAACAGAGACTTACTGTGTCAAATAAAACGTAATGATACCTTGGGGTCTCGCAGAACAGCCTGAGCAACATACAAAAGTTGACGCTCTTGAACAGATAATCTTTCTTCTATGTAGTATGTTTGAGTCTCCAATAGATTTGGCAAATCTTCTATTTTCTGATAAATTCCTACTTTCTCCAAACTCTCACATAGTTCTCGAAGACTATATCTATGCATGGGATCTATATTTATGCTGAAAACCAATGAAGAAGAAGAAAGAGACAATGAGAAGTACAAACATTTAGAGATTCACTAATTACCTAAATGTACCTAGTGAAATAAACTCACCGTAAGGTTCCCGAAAACATAAGCGGGTTTTTGGGGACAAGAGCAATACTGGAACGCACATAATCTACTGGAGCAGTCTTAATGTCTACATCCCCAATATACACAGAGCCTTGTGAAAGATTTGCTAGTTTGTACAGGGCACCTATAATAGCAGTTTTTCCAGATCCAGGAAGGCCCAGAATCCCTGAAAACATTATAATCATAAGTAAGTATCAATGGACAACAATATCATCTGTGCCACTGGTGTAGTTAGTGATTCCATTGAAAAAAATTAGATGACGATGATTGTTGCTGTCGTCGTTGTTTCTGTTAATGGATTTGGACGTGGACGTTTTTGTGGCCGTCGTCGTCGTCGTCGTCGTCGTCGTCGTCGTCGTCGTCGTCGTCGTCGTCGTCGTCGTCGTCGTCGCCGCCGCCGCGGCCGTGGCTGTTAGTGTTGTTTTTGTGGACGTGGTGGTCGTCTCTGTCTTCGTCGTCGATATTAGGTGTAGATATTTCCAAAAATAGTATCTGCTTTGAATATGATAGAAATTGTGACAGTGCAGATTTTGTTCCTGCTCAGATACATCATTGATGATAATCATTCTATTTAATGTAATACCTATTTTTTCTCCCGACTGTACATGAAAAGAAAGTCCTCTCCATGATGGTTGTGAATCAGGCCAGAATTCCAACTTGACATCTCGAAACACAATACTGCCATTAGCAAAAGGATTTGGCATCACATATGGAAGATTAGAGTCATCTTCTGGCTTGATAGACTGAAGTAAGAGATATAGTACCTAGATTAGTTCTCAATACAGAAACCTGTTTGTTTCGAAGATTATGTTTGTTTAAGACTTACTCGAACAGTAGCATCATGATTGCCCAAAACAATGAACTTTGATGACATTGATGTAGATGTTTGTGTAACATTATTCAAGATATAACCCAATAAAAATGCACAAAAAATACTTATAGTAGTAGGGATAAGATATAAATTTGATTCACCAAAAAAAAACACCCATTCTTTTGTGTCATCTTTTATGCACATTATTCCCAAAATTATCATAATGAAACACACTGAAAAAAAGCATAGTATTAAAGAAAGAAATTTCACAATAAAAATGTTAAAAGAGGAACTGAAAATAAGGATAAAAAATATCAGTTTCTTAAACATTTTCTCAAAACTATTAATAATGTCTTACAAGATGCAAACTGAATCCAGAATCGTAGCCATAGACAGGCAGCTTGATTCAATTGTGAATAAGCCAAGAAAGTATCACATTGATTATGAAAGCTGTAAAAAAAAGAGTTCATGAATGACTGAACTAAGGAGTTGTTAAGTTGTAATTACCACAGCAGAAAGAAAAGAAAAAATATATACACACACAGTCCAATAATCTTGTTCTTTCCCAAATGCTTGTATGGTGACTCTACCCATAACTGTAGAAGCAACAAAGCCATTTAAACGTAAACAAGCTTCTTCAGCTCGATGGTAGAATTTTAGAAGAGCAGAACTAACATAATAAAAGAATCTCTTAGGAATTAAGAGCTCAGTTTAAAATCAAAACACTTTCATTCAGAAAAATATCTTACTTTGTAAAACGAAGCAGGAAATGACTAAATACACAAATTGCAATTATTGGAATAAGAAACCATAGTGAACATATACTCAGCACACAGATCAGCAAAAGAACTAAAAATAAATTCTCCACAAGCAATATTGAATTTGATGGTAGAGATGTATCAACTGGAATTAAAACCAAATCAAAATAATTTTAGTATAAAATGACAAATCATTACATAATATATTAAGGAGAATAGCAAGTGTATATATATATATATATTATTAAATAAACCATACTTTCTGAAAGATGTAGGGAAAACCATCGTAAAATTTCAGAATGGGATGCATTCTGGAAAATATTTAAACAGCCTTTGCAAATACTTTCAATCCATGACTGATGAACTTGTAAAGAAATTTTATAAGTAACCTGGAATAAAAATTCTGTAGATATTTAAAAGCATTTTCAAATAACATTAAAAAAGAAAAGAAAAAAAACAACAACAAAAAATTCTACCTGGTCAAAGAGCACTGTCCCCACAGTTCTTGATACTAAAATTATGAAGAAAAAAGCCAGAGCAATAACATACCTTGTTGAGTTCTGGAAAACCAAACATTACCATTACTAAAAGAAAAAATATATTTTCATAAATATTAATGATAATTAAGAAGGAAATACAAAATTGTTTTAGCTTTTTGCATTAATAAGCTTAAGTTAAAAATGTGATAAAATGTTTTGAAAAACAGGTTGACAGAATTTTATTTCTAAAATTTACAAGAAGAGTTAAAAATTACTCCCGTAAGTTTCAATGATAACTTCACAAAATTTTAACTTATAATTGTGTTCTAAATATAATAATTTCATCTTTTTTTCATATATTTGGTTGAAATTTAGATACATATTTATTATATCTAGTAGAAGATGGCTTATGGCAGAACAATGAAAAATATTTTACATACCTCTGTTAAACATTCCAAAATAATGACAGGAGAAATTATTACCGTCAAAGCACATAAAACGCAAATTAATGTGAAAATCAAGCTAGTAAGTAAAGGAACTGAAGATTTTGTTTCGAGGGCCAATGTTTTGTAGAAACCCATAGAATTGTTATATTTTGCAACCATAGCTACAGATTCTGCAACAAAATTAATTATGCTGTCAGACCACATAATTAATACTACAGTAAAAAATATTGATCAGGTTTGGTGTGATAATGGTATCATGAGATGAATGTGACTGGAAAAATACCTTGTTCTATCTCATCTTCCATACTGTCTGGAATTCTGACAACACTTTCTGCTAGATTTGGTGTTTCTCTCCCATTTTGTGATTTTATTGTACCAAAACTTGCATTGTATGACTTTTCATCCCTGTAACAGCAAGCCACTGAATAATCCTTATCCTGTCAAACACTTTTTTTTTGTTCTACCATTCTGAATCACAAAGCAAAAAAGCCTCTTTCACACTAACTCAACGCCCATTGTTACTTGTTCTAACTTGACCATTGCCAATCCTCCGACCCAGTCTTTGCTGTCTGTTGTGATGGCCTGTCCTTTCTGCCTGTCCTTACTGCCCATTATCACTTTCTCTCCTTTCTACATATCTAAACATCTGCCTTTTCTTCACTCCTTGACATCTATTGACAAACATGAACAATCTTTTCAAGAATCTCTGAAGAATAGTGACAAAATATAGCCTGCTTTGAAATATAAACATTTTTATACTTTACTCACACTAATATCTATATCAACATCAATTGATTCACTTCACCTTACCTTGTGCACCTGAATACCTATATACACCTCTGATAAAGACTGTGGATAAGTCAAGAGATGCAAATTGAATGGAAAAAAAGAGCACAAAAGACTGTCAGGAGGTTCTTTTAAAGGAAAGTAAAAGTGTGTCTACCTCCTGTAGCCAATGTTAAGTGTAAAAATTCCAGCTGCTTGTCCCTCTCTTAGCAAATAAGGGTCTTATCCCTAACTGATAAAAAGGGATGAGAAAGGGAAGGGAAAGGAAAGGGAAAGGGATGAGAAAGAGAGAGAGAGAGAGACAGAGGGAAGGAGGAAGAGGAGAGAGAGAGAGTGCTTTTTACAAGAATAGGTGGAAATCTTCCAAAGACACCATGGAACTCAGACATCATGGGACAGTTATTCACTAACACCACCCTTGGCTTCTCTACCTCCTCACTGTTAGGCTGAGGCATATTCAGATGCTGATAGCAAGCATAAAATTTGCACCTGCTAATATACTTCAAATTAGGGTTGTTGTTATTTGTTTTAGCGGCTATACTCTAATTAGCGCCCTTTCTGAGTGGCGCTCATGGCTTGTGTCCATTCAGATGCATTACAATGATCAACGCGTTACAAGATAACTAAATACTGATGTATTTAATGCAAGGAAACAGTTGAAGGTGCAAGAGTAGAAGTACAAAGTGTTTCTAAAAAAATTCCAAAAACTATGCTGGTAGCGGACCTGGGAAGAATGAATTAATGAATAAATGGATGAATGAATGTATCAATCAATCAATCAGTGAATCAATCAATCAACAATCAATAAATAAATTAATAAAGGACAGTTTAGGAAGGATAATGAAAATACTTTATTAAATGAATGAATGTTCATATGTTTAGAAACGACAAGTGAAGGTTATAAAAAATGGGCGATTACACAAACGTTTAGAAAATAAAATATTAGGAATTTGTAAATGAGAATGGTAATTAAATTTATTACTTTAAGTTTAATTAGGAAGTATTACAATGAAGAAATGTGGAAACCAAAAGGCATCAAAATTGGATTATAAAAACTTACAAACAATTGACAGAAGAGAACCGCTGTTCTTTGTTTTAAAAGTGTGTGGTGAGGAGGAAGGTGTACAACAATGCATATAGACAGTCGGGTTGGTGATCTGGTAGTGCTTACATCGTGGTAGAAGTGAAATTTGAGTTTTTCATGTAAAAGTTGGTTGGAAAGTGGTAGGATGTCATAGAGAGATGTTCCATAGTAAGGAATATAGTACGCGAGTGTTTCAAATTAAAGTTTGAAACGAAAAGAATGGAGCCGTGACGAGAAGGTGCAAATAAGGAGATGGCGCCATTTTACGGTTCCAGCAACCATGGAGGTGGCGAAATTTTGCCACAATCTTATAACAATGCCATCGTAACCAACTAAGTAATTATTAATAATGGCCATTAGAGTTTTTTTTTTTTATTTTCAAAACGAGTGCACTCACATGAATGAATGCAGTTTAAATATGGATGAATGAGTGAGTGTTATTGTATTTTTTTTTTTCAAGATATATTGTATTTAAAGGGTAAATTTTATGTCATCTTATGTTTTGGTACTATAGAAAGCTGGGGTATATACAGAGGAGTGCAGAATTTGCGGTGAAGCATTTTGAAATCTGGTGATAGCCAATAAATAATTGCTGCTCATATTGATGGCATTGATAAAATTTGTGCGTACATGTTAGCAGGTAATATAAACCCAATGATAGGAGAAAGAACAGAGAGCTATTGAGCTAGGTTCCCAAAACAATATGAGAATATTTTGGTTTCCTGTACAGGGGGGACTTCACACAAAATTTATAAATTTGTACTGTAGAAACGTAAACTTGGCGTTACGTCTTCATGTTAAATATTTCAACCAACATTAAATTTAGACTAAAAATATTTCCTCTGTTGAGTATAAAACAATTGTTTACAATCATTCCTTGCACATGTACTGAAATCATTTTCACTGATACAATAGGAAACAAAGAAAGGATGATACAAAGTTAAATATACTTACTCTATATTTTTGTTACTTTCTTCTTGAAGATAAGACTTAATGAGGAGAGGATATAAGTCCATTTCCATTAGACAATCATGAGTTCCATGCTCTATAATTGCAGCATCTTTAAGGACAAATATTTCATCACAGAGTTTCAAGAACTGAAATGGTAATAAATTAATGTAAATATTCGTCCACAACTGAAAAAATATATCTTAAAAGGGCATGCTATTATTTGACTGATACCTTTACTTGACGACTTGTAATTATTACTGTTTTGCCCTTTAAATGTTTCTGTATACTTCTTTCAAAAATAATACTGCTTACATCAGAACTTACAGCACTCAATAAATCATCTAACAAGTAAATATCTCTGAAAAATATTGAAATAGTAATTAAAAAGATATTGAATATTACATTTATAGATTAATGATAATTGTAAATTAAATAGAAATTATATTTCGAGAGTTGGCAGTTTAAAAAATTAAATAAGCCTTTATATTTATATAAAAATACTTGCCTGTTGGCATAGAGAGCTCTTGCTAAAGCTATACGTTGCTTCTGTCCAAGAGTTAATGTAGACTCTGAGATCAAAGTCTGATCTCCACCAGACAATTGTCCAATATCATCATTTAAAGAACAACAATGAATGACATGATAATACCTACATAAATAAAACATTCCAAATAATAGTTTCAAACTAATGAAATCATTCCCATTATTTCTAAAACATAAAGTAATATTATTAATAATAAAAGAGGAAACACCTTTTATGAATAAATGGTTCATTGAAAAGAACATTTTCACGTAGAGTAGCCTCCATAATCCATGGATTTTGACCCACATATGCATAAGTACCATCTCGTAGTAACTTGTCACTTCCATACACAGGATTAATTTGACCTAAAAGTGCCCATATCAAAGCTGTTTTACCAGAAGATGTGTCACCACATATTCCAATTAATCTCTCCTAAAAATTAATAAATCACATTGAAGAAAAATATAAAATAAGTAACTTCAACATAATTAAATAACATACCTTAGGAGCTTCAAAATTAATTTCCTTCAGGACAGTTTTAGCTTGCATTTCCACATCATCAATTTCACGATGTCCACATACGCATGTACACCTGTATTTTAAGATCATTAAAAATGATTATTAATTAATATATAGAATGTAGGCCAAATTATTTATTACATACTTATTTAACAAATTACCATGATGGACATGCTTCAAAATATAATGTGCATGATGGATAAAATATCACAAAAGCTTGATAAGCTTGAAGGCAATTACCTTGGCACAGTATCACACAGGGTTAAAAGATGAAACAGAAGGACGTAAGAATTGCTACATGGAACACAAACGGCTTGCAAAACCAAAAACAAGAAATAGAAGATTTTCTTACGTCACAAAATATTGATATTTTTATGATCTCTGGAACCCAACTACAGAACAGACCTATTTTAAACTAAATGGATATAGTGAATATCAGAAAGCACACCCAGATAACAAAGCAAGAGGTGGAAGTGCTCTTCTAATAAAAAACACAATTGATCATTATGAGGAGTGTCACCTAAAATTAGCTGAATTCCAATTAATTGTAGTAACAATAAAATGTGTGAAGCAACATCTAAATATTGGTGCAATCTACTGCCCTCCAAGGCACAATATTAAGATAATAGAATACAAACAATTCCTAGAACATTTGGAGGTGAGATTTATGATTGGGGGAGATAATTACACTAAACATGTGGATTGGGGATCTAGGCTGACCACCAAGAAAGGTAGTGAACTGAGGGAAGCAATAAGTGAGAGTGGATGCACTTTTCATTCTAAAAGGTAAACCTACATATTGGCCTTTCGACCAGAATAAAACACCCGATCTTTTTGACTTCTTTACATCAAGGAAAGTGTCCCCACACTTTGTTGATACTGAAGAAAATTTTGATATGAGCTGTGACCACTCTGCTGTGATTCTCACCTTAACTGAGAGAGTAATTAAGAAAACTGACAATAAAAAACTGCCTGGAAGAACTACAAATTTGAACTGGAAAATAATATAAATCTTGGAACTGAGTTAAAGTCTACACAACAGTTGGAAATGGAAACTGAGAGATTTACCCGTACAATCCAAGAAGCAGCATGTAATATCATAAAAGAAATTGCCTTGAGTTAGTACAAAACAACTACCCTATGGAAATCAGGAAGTTAGTTAAAGAAAACAGATGTGCTAGAAGAAGGCAACAGATTTATGATCCATATGATAAAATGATACTTAATAACAAAACTCTAATTCTTAAGAGAGAAATTACTCCTATGTGGAAAATTTAACTGCAGATAACACATCTATTCGCTATTGAACACAGCAACCAAAAGGCTAAAAAAGGACAATAACCCAAATTCCACCCATTCGAAAAATAAATGGTTCCTGGGCACAAGACAGTAAACAGACGGCAGACACATTCTCAAAATACCTTTTAGAGATCTTTCAGCCGAATGATATACATTCTGATGTGGACACTGAAGAAAATACAAATAGTGAATTTGAAGAAATCGAATTTGTTACTAAAAAATAATTAGTTAATGAGATAAGAATGAATATTAATACCAAAAGGGATCCTGGTTTTGATCTTATCATGAACAAAATTCTGAAACAGTTACCAAATAAGGGGACAGTAATGCTTATGTAGTGCTAATCAATGCAGTCTTTAGAGTAAAACATGTTCCCTAGTGTATGGAAGGTTGCTGAAATCATCATGATCCTCAAACCAGGAAAATTGCCCAATTAAGTTACATCTTATAGGCCAATATACTTGCTGCCCATTCTTTCCAAAGTCTTTGAGAAGTTGCTGTTAAAAAGGTTAAAACCAATAATAGACAGAAAAAAATGCATCGCCAAACATCAGTTCGGCTCCAGACAGAAACATTCTACAATAGGCCACGTCCATAGAATCATCAATACAATAGAGAAAACATTAGAAGAAAATCTGGTCTGTTCAGCTACCTTCTTTGATGAGACCTAGGCTTTTGATATGGTCTGGCATCGGGGCTTGATTTTTGACCCATAACTGGATAACATAGCCGAGATGGCCATACAGACTATCTCAACAGAAAAGAAAAAGAAAAAATTGCACACATATTTGAATATTTATTACAAAGATACTGAGAAATAGCAACTTAATCTGCAGACTCAAATCATGATAGCAGTAATCATAGAACAGAATTATTCAAGCATAAGGAAGGGTTGCATGCAGGCATAAGGAAGGCATTAGTTGATACAATAGCTTTGTTACCTTCTTTAACAGTTCAAGCACGTATTTTTATTAAAGATACTATTAGTTTTGTACCTTAAACCAGTCACACTCATTTTATAAAGGACAAAGACATTGAAATATCCATCACTTACTTAACTACAATAAAAACATGGGTCTTATGCACATATAATACTTCTGGGAATTTGAAAATTATTTTTAAAAAAATCTTGAAGGTATTCTAACCAAACTTCAAAAACGCAGACAGTATAAAATTATTCTTTGTGGTAACTTCAATATAAATTGCCTCACACAATCCAGTAATGAAAATCTATTTAAAGACCTACTAAAATCATATAATCCTCAAACAACCATAAATACACCAACCCGAATATCCAAAAATAGTAGCACTGCTAGTAGATCAAATAATAATGGATGCAAATTATTTAGAGCAAATAATGTCCTCACAAATGCACAACATGGCTTCAGGAGTAATAAATCCACAGACACAGCCATTTTCTTCTTTTTAAATGACATACTTGTTGCACTAAATCAGAAGGAAATTCCCATTGGCATTTTCTTAGATTTGTGAAAAGGCTTTCACATTATTGACCATCACATACTTTTAACAAAACTAGAAATGCTAGGGATTCGAGGCATTTCAGGCCAATGGATCAAATCATATTTATCAAACCATAGCCAAATAGTTGCCCTCCAGCACACTAAAGGAAACAAAATCTCCTCATACTACTCCTGTCATCAGATGATAAATTATGGAGTCCTGCAAGGGTCCATCCTTTGGCCAATACTATTCCTTATATTCATAAATGACATGCCTTTGGCTTTAAGGAATAACAAAATAATTTTGTTTGCAGATGACATAAACATAATCATTAAACCAAAAACACAACAATCATTAGAAAAAGAAACTCTCACAACTTTGCATGCACTCATTAAATGATTGCAAATCAACAAACTCATCATAAACACCAGCAAGATAGTCTCTCGAAATTTCCGATCTCCGGGTGATGAATCTCCGATCTAAAGAAAAACTCTCACAGCATTTGCAAATAAATAATAACCCTGCAACGATATCTCATGAAACTGCCTTCCTCAGTCTAACAGTTCAAGAAAACCTAAAATGGAATGCTCACATCTCAAATCTTAACAAGCTCACCCTATCATGCTACACCCTATACTCCCTCAGGACAAGCTCTAACATTGCGACATTTCGAACAATGTATTTTGGAAATGTATGAAGCAACATACAACTGTTAGTGGACTATGCCAAATATCATTCTTCTCTTGGCTTCTCTCGGTCCACCGACGTTCGGTAGCATTCTTGCGATGTTAGCTCCATCCTCGCCGCCTTTTCTGCCTTCACAGTTATGTGGGGACCGAAGCTGAGTCTATGGTCTATTTCGACTGCTAAATATCTTATCTGGCGCTTCTGACTTATTATAATAATATTTATTGAGTCACATATACAATTACAATCGTGTATGATGAGTCAATATCCTGCGGTGGAGAGACGAAGTTATAATACTCGTTCAGTGACAAACAAGGGGCCCATCCTCACGCCTCTTGCATCATACACGGATCAAGCGAATACTGACAAAACCTGATCCAGATGCGGTCATTGCCAGAAATCAATACTTTAACATTAGATAGATTATACGCAGTAGATAAATTATTACTGCTAATATTAACATTCCAATATATGATATTTAATGCTACTACTTATAAAATTATATTAAATACAATTAACATAATAATAAAATTACATTAAAATACATATACTGTTGCAACTACAACAAATTTAACAATAGTAGTTCATTCTTCATACTTATAACTTAAGGTGAGAGCATAGTTTTGACCTCATTTTTCTTCTATTCTCCTTCTATTTCACAGGATGATGATATCAGTTCTTTTTTCTTCTGCTAGCTTCAAAACAGTTCACATGAAACCAGAAAGTCTAATGGAATCAAGTAAATTCTCATTTATTCTGTATATTTTTTAAGGAAATAGTCATTGTGATAAATTCCTTCCAACTGTAGAACCATGTTGTTAAGCCTCCCATGAATGCTTCAATTTATTTTTAAATTGTTGAATTCGTGTTTCTGTTTGATCATCATTGCCTAGGCTTTTCTTGTATCAAGGTACATCCTCTATAGGGTAATTTCTGATATCAAATGCAGTTTTCAGAGTGGGAACCGTGTCAGGTTATCTTTGAGCGTCGTCTGCTAGTTATGCACATCAGAATTTAAAGCTAAAGTCTTCTTTGTTCTCCCATGAATGGTCTTCTGAAACAATATTCAAAACATTTACTTCATGGTAGACGAAGAATCTATTTATTAAACAAGGGTTTGCAAGCCTCCAGCTTATGATGCGTCATTGTTCTATACTTCTTTTTATATCAATTGCGAGTGCTTCATGGGCCATTCCCAAATCTATTCCATACTTTAGGTTGAGTCACATTGAAAATAACTCTGTCGACAGTGTCCAAGGTGGACGCTGACCGAGGTGTCATAGCCGGGATAGCAAGATTAAATGAGCCTCTCTGTTACAATTGAATATAGTGCTTCCCATTTAGGCTTTCTTGAATTGTTAGTCAGTCCGCCGGGGGAGAACAGTATCTTCATGAGATTCATTCACCATGGGTCATGTTCTATTTTGCACGCAGACATGCTGTGAGTGTTCTTTTTAGACTTCTGAGGATTCATCGAATTAGAGAGACGCTTCCTGCTCGTGTTATCGGACTGTGAGCTTAAAGTCTTGAAAACATCTACTACGCTGCAATTTGGGGTGAGTTTCTTTCTAATGTGGTGCTTCTCGATGATGACTGCATGTCTCTTGTCACAAACAAAATATTTTT